CTGCATCTGCTTCCGGGGAAGCCTCAGGAAGCTTGCAGTCATGGCGGGAGGCAAAGGGGGAGCAGTCACATCAGATGGCCACAGCAGGAGCAAGAGCCAGACAGTGGAGGCACTACACACCGTTAAACAACTATCATGAGAACAGCACCCAGGGATGGCGTGGAACCATTCATGAGACCCAGTCACTTCCCACCAGGCCCCGCCTCCAGCACTGGAGACTGGGGCAGGGACACACACCCAAACTAAATCACAACACAATCTCATTGACATGAACTTCTAGAACATGCAGAACTATACGCGTTTAAAGCCAGGAGAGTGGTTGTCTCTTGTAAGAAACCTTTCTGGGGTGCCAGAATCCCCTTGGGGTGGTTTGTAACATGTCCACACGTTCTCTGGTATTACACTCATCAAAAAAAGGCGACCTACAGCGCCTCTCCCCTTGCATACACTGGCCTCAGGGACTTGCGTCTAGTGAGCAGGCTGCTGGGGAAGTGGCAGCACCTGATCCCGAGGTCAGGCCATCAGATGATGTGGCCTCCGCTGGGCTTTCTGGCTTGAGATGTTCCCCGGAGAACCCAGCCTTCCAGGGACGTAGAGGTGTCCTCACCCTGGCAGCATCCTCCGCTGGACACGCAGGATGGGTGGTTCCAGCTCGTGGCCACTGGGCCGCCCCGGCTAACCAACTGCAGCAGATGAGCTCTGCCAACTGAGACCTCACAGAGCGCAGGCTGACGAGCAAAACAAACATTGCCATTATTTTCAGCCCTTACATCTTGGGGCAGCTTGGTATCTAGCAAGAGATAACTGGAGCAGATTAATATGTGGGTCTATGTGGTGGCTGCCACATGGCCGTGTATGTATAAAACAGTCATTGGGCTGTACAAGTACAGTTTGTGTACTTTTCTACCTTTAACTTATACCTCCCTAACAACGTCTTTCAGAAAAGCGTTAACTCCTGAGGCTCTGGCGTGGGCAGCTGGGTGAGCGCTGGAACTAGTCCCACATGCTGAGGTGGGAAGCTCGGTGAAAGGGAATCCCAAGTCTGGTTGACCATTTAAGTTTATGGTGCCTGTGAGAGAAATCGGAAGACCAAAACCTCAGAGGAGAAAGCATGACGGAGATGCAGGCAGCTAAGAGGGCGCAGGGGTGTATCTGGAGGGACTCACACCTTGTAGGGGCTAGGTAGAGAGAGCTCACAGCACACAGAAAGAGCACAGACTTCAGCATCACAGAGGTCACAAGAGACAAGTGGTTGGCAGGGGAGTGGGCACCGGTGAGAGAAAGTCCAAGAGGACTGGATGGATTTGGCAACACAGAGATCACTGCTGTCCTGGACGAACACTGATTGGATGGAGTGGCAGCGTAGAAGCAGAGGAAGAGGTACTGCACAAGGAATGGGCAAGTGAGAAAACAGACAAGGATTCCGAAAAGTTCACCTACAAAGAGGAACAGAGAATTAGGGTTGTGGTTGGAGGGGGTGTTGGGTCAAGTGAGTTTTTATTTTTATTCTTCAAGAACGGAAGCTACCAGGACATGTTTGATGAAAATAGATCCAGAGGCTGGGCGCAGTGGCTCACGCCTGTAATCCCAGCACTTTGGGAGGCCGAGGTGGGCGGATCACCTGAGGTCGAGTTGGAGACCAGCCTGGCCAACATGAGGAAACCCTATCTCTACTAAAAATACAAAAATTAGCCGGGCTTGGTGGTGCACGCCTGTAGTTCTAGCTACTCAGGAGGCTGAGGCAGGAGAATTGCTTGAACCCGGGAGGCGGAGGTTGCAGTGAGCCGAGATAGCGCCGCTGCACTCCAGCCTGGGCGACAGAGCGAAACTCTGTCTCAAAAAAAAAAAAAAAAAAAAAAAAGAAAAAGAAAAAAAAAAAAAAAAAAAAAAAAAAGAAAAAGAAAAGAAAAAGAAAGAAAGAAAGAAAAAAAATAGATCCAGAAGCCAGGAAGAAATTGATCATGTGGGGTGACATTATGAGTGAAGAAGTCCTCAGAAAAGAGGAGAAACTTGCAATTCTGGCCACGATGGAATAACTGATGCCAGCTGTAAACACCTAAAAAACTGGGCAACTATTTTTAGATATTGGACAATAGGCCGTGCAGGGCTGTGAGCAGAGAGAAAACAAAGAAGGTGAGCCTTACAAGCACCCCGAGTTTCTGCCTGGAGGCACTTTCAGCCCATGGTTTAGCAAGGGGGTCTGAGCAGCACCAGCACTCTCAGAGTTACCAGAGCGACCCAGCCAATAGCAGAGAAACAACGGAATCCCAGAAACATGTAATTAATCCAGAAGTCAAAAACAGGAAAACAGAACAAAGAACAGATGGGGTAATAGAAAACAAATAACAAGATGATAGACTTAACCCTAACCATTAAATGTCAATGGATTCAACAGACCAACTAAAGGCAGAGATTGCCAGATTGTTTAAAAGAGTAAGGCTGGGCTGGTTGCAGTGGCTCACGCCTGTAATCCCAGCACTTTGGGAGGCTGAGGCAGGCGGATCACCTGAGGTCAGGAGTTTGAGATCAGCTTGGCCAATATGGTGAAACCTTGTCTCTACTAACTAAAAATATAAAAATTAGCTGGGCGTGGTGGCACACAACTGTAGTCCCAGCTACTATGGAGGCTGAGGCAGAAGAATCGCTTGAACCTGGGAGGCAGAGGTTGCAGTGAGCCGAGATTACACCACTGCACTTCAGCCTGGGTGACACAGTAAGACTCTCATCTGGAAAAAAAGCCGGGTGCAGTACCTCACACCTGCAATCCCAGCACTTTGGAAGGCCGAGGTGCGTGAATCACCTGAGGTCAGGAGTTCGAGACCAGCCTGGACAACATGGGGAAACCCCATCTCTACTAAAAATAGAAAAATCAGTCGGGCGTGGTGGCGGACGCCTGTAATCCCAGCTACTAGGGAGACTGAGGCAGGAGAATCACCTGAACCTGGGAGGCGGAGGTTACAATGAGCCAAGACCGTGCCATTGCACTGCAGCCTGGGCGACAAGAACAAAACTCCATCTCAAAAAAAAAGAAAAAAAAAAAAAGGGAAAAAAGTAAATATAAAGACAGCTTGGGCCAGGTGCAGTGGCTCACACCTGTAATCACAGCACTTTGGGAGGCTGAGGCGGGTGGATCACTTGAGGTCGGGAGTTCAAGACCAACCTGGCCAACATGGTGAAACCCCATCTCTACTAAAAATACAAAAACTAGCCGGGCGCGGTGGCACGCACTTGTAATCCCAGCTACTCAGGAGGCTGAGGCATGAGAATTGCATGAACCTGGGAGGTGGAGGTTGCACTGAGCCAAGATCACACCACTGCACTCCAGCCTGGGCAACAGAGTGATCCTTGCTTTAAAAAAGAAAAAAAAAAAAATATATACACACACACACACACACACACACACAGAGAGAGAGAGATTGACAGAGAGAGAGAGAGGGGAGAGACAGCTAGCTAGGTTAAAAGAAAATAATGCAAAAAATTAGACCATGAAAATCATTAAGCATAAGAAAGCTGGAGTAGCAATACTCATATCAGACAAAGCCGACTTTGAAAGACGGAATATTACCAGAGATTGAAAGGGGCATTTCATAACAACAGGGCTAGCCAGGCGCAGTGGCTCACGCCTGTAATCCCAGCACTTTGGGAGGCCGAGGTGGGCGGATCACTGGAGGTCAGGAGTTCCAGACCAGCCTGGCTATCATGGGGAAACCCTGTCTCTACTAAAAATACAAAAAAATTAGCTGGGCATGGTGGTGGTCACCTGTAATCCCAGCTACTCGGGAGACTGAGGCAGGAACATGGCATGAACCTGGGAGGCGGAGGTTGCAGTGAGCAGAGATCGTGCCACTCCACTCCAGCTTAGGTGACAGAGTGAGACTTCGTTTCAAAAAAAGAAAGGCTTAAAAATCAGTGATTTAAAGTGATGCCTTAGGAAGCTGGAAAGAGACAAGCAGGTTAAACCCAAAATAAACGAAAGGAAAGAAACAACAAAAAGTGGAAATCAACAAAATGGAAAATAAACCAACAGAGAAAAATCAGTAAAAGCAAAAATTGGTCCTTTGAAATTAACAATAAAAATTGATAAGCCTCTATCTATCTAGGCTGATCAAGAAAAAAAAAGGGCCAGGTGCAGTGACTCACGCTTGTAATCCCTGCAGTTTGGGAGGCCGAGGCAGATGGATCACCTGAGGTCAAGAGTTTGAGACCAGCCTGGCCAACATGATGAAACCCCGCTTCTACTAAAAATACAGAAAAAAATTAGCTGGGTGTGGCGGTGGGTGCCTGTAATCCCAGCTACTCAGGAGGCTGAGGCAGGAAAATCACTTGAACCTAGGAGGCAGAGGTTGCAGTGAGCTGAGATAGCGCCATTCACTGCAGCCTGGGCAACAAGAGCAAAACTCCATCTCAAAAAAGGAAAAACAAAGAAGAATTTAAACAAGGTCACAGAATATAAGGTTCATATACAAAACTCAACCGCATTTTTTTTTTTTTTTGAGGCAGGGTCTCCCTCTGTTGACCAGGCTGGAGTGCAGTAGTGGACTCATGGCTCACTGCAGCCTCAACGTCCTGGGCTCAATCGATCCTCCCGCCTCAGCCTGCTGAGTAGCTGGAACTACAGGCATGCACCACCATGCCTAGCTAATTTTTGTACTTTTTGTAGAGACGGGGTTTCGCCATGTTGCCCAGGCTGGTCTCAAACTCCTGGCGAAAGTGATCTGCCCACCTTAGCTTCCCAAAGTGCTAGGATTACAGGCGTGAACCACCACACCCAGCATCAATTGCATTTCTGTATAATATCATGATGAATTAGAAAATCAAAGATACCATTTAGAATAGCATAAAAAACATGGACTACATCAGGAAAAACCTGACGCGGAAGTACTGGGTGTGGCCAGCCCAGAGTAGTAACAAGACCTGGGATACTCAAGAACCCTGAGGTGTAAGGCATTGGGAAAGCTCAAGGCTTTCAGTGCAACAAAGTCCACAAGTACAGCCCGAGATTGCAACATATGTTTTTATTACTCAAGGACAACCTGGACTTCACCAATGCCCAGCTTCATGGGGGCATGTAGTGTGACTCCCGGCTGAACACAGAAGCACTGTTAGGCCTGTGCTACAGCCCTGGGCTACTTTTGGACACGCAAGAGGACACTAAGTTACATGAAACCTGACTTGCTTCTAAAGACATGTGACACATGTTTTTTCCCTGAAAATGTTTCCCTTCCCTGTCTGCCATGCTCCCAACTTTTCTGCCTTCCTGGGGCTTCTCACTGTCTGGGTAACTAGGTCTTGGGCCTAGCTGGACCTTGGGTAGTGGCCCCTCTGCCACAATCAGTGCCTGGGCCTGAGGCTGTGCTTGTGGCCTCCAAAGCCTGACCCGGCTTGGAGCTCGCCTGTGGCGCGCACGGACAGCCTGACTTGCAGGCCATCACATTAGGCCAGCTTACAGGTCCCTGGTAAAGCCTGAACACACTGGCCTGAGGTGGAGGATCTCAGAATTCTTGCTTCTTGCTAGGACTGAATCGCAGGACTTATAGCCATACTTTTCCCAGGGTTTTTCTTTTCAAAACACGGTCTTGCTCTGTCGCCCAGGCTGGAGTACAGTGGTACAATCATGGCTCACTGCAGCCTCAATCTCCCAAGCATAAATGATCCTCCCAAGTAGCTGGGACCACAGGCGTGCGCTACCACGCCAGGCTAATTGTTTAAAACCATTTTTTGTAGAGACAGGGTCTCATCATGTTGCCCTGGCTGGTCTTGACCTACTGGGCTCAAGTGATCCTCCTGCCTTGGCCTCCCAAAGTGCTGGGATTACAGGCGTGAGCCACCGTGCCCGGCCACACTTTTCCAAATTGTAAGCAGCTAGGAGGGCCCTGGGCCTCATCGGCTCCATTGTGCAGGGTGGCCACTGTCCAAAGAGATGGGCAAAGAGCTGCTGCCAGAGGCCTAGGCTGCGGACGCCCTGCCTAGCTCTCAGGGGAGCCAGCTCCCTGCTCCACACCCCTACGCAGCAGCCCCTCTCCTCCCCTCGCGGGTCTGTGCAGCCAGCAGCCTCCCAACATGCGCCAGCCTCCTCACTGGATGCCAGCCTTCCTTGTCCCCAGATGCTGGCATGGAGGCAGGGTTCCACTCGGCCTGCCTGTGCCCACAGAGCCTAGAACAGCAGGGCCACCGCCTTCTCTCCCCCGCGGGTATAGGCCCCCGCCCCCACTGCCTGCAGAATGCTGAGGACTCGTGCACCATGAGAACTTCTGACCATGAGAACTTTGACTTCCGGATTTGGGGGATCTGCCCAGGTGAACAAATCAGCTCTGAAATTCATCACTTTCTTCGGGCCCCTGCCTGTCCTGTTCCAGGCCCAAGCCTACAGAAGGAAGAGGAAAGTCCGCTTAGCAAATCGGGGAGGCTCCCCCACTGCCAGAAGCCCTGGCTCAAGGGCTGGGCCATACTCCCTCATCTCCTGGGGCGTTCGTGGGAATTGAGGGGTTTTGTTTGTTTGTTTTTGAGACAGGGTCTGGCTCTGTCTCCCAGGCTGGAGTGCAGTGGCTAGATCACGGCTCACTGTAGTCTCTACCTCCTGGGCTCAAGTGATCCTCCCACCTCGGCCTCCAAAAGTGCTGGTATTACAGGCATGAGCCACCTCACCCAGCTGAGGGTTCCTAAGCAGTGGTTCTTCAAATAGTACCCGGGATGGAAAATTCCTGCTGGGGCTTCCTAATTTCCTGAAAGCAGAGTGGGGCAAGCGCCCTCGGGCTAAAGGAGGGGTTACTGTCAGGAGGGAGGGAGTGGGCCAGGGTCTTGCTAAGGGAGGCATGTGGGGCCAGCTGGGCTTCCAGAGGTCGCCAGAGCCAGTGGCCTGCCCGGCTGCCCCACGCCCTCAGCGCAGCTGGGACAGACACTCTGCTCTTTGGGGCTGGCACGGATGCGCCTGAGCACCCCAGAGGCCAGCCCGGGCGGCAGCACCTGGAAGGGAGCTGGACGACAGCAGCTGCAGGCTGTCCAGGGCCCCATCCTCGTACAGGGCCAGCTTCTGGACCATCTTCTGTCGGGCAGGGTTGATGATAATCTGCGGTGGCTCTGATGATGACGATGCAGAGCTGCCCAGGACCAGTCCTGGGGTGGAGATAGCACTCCCTTAGCCTCATGCTGCGTCTCCCCAACCCCCAGCCTAGCACCCTGCCTCCCTGGCCTCAGGCCTGAATTCCTCAGAGAAGTCCAAGGGCAGGGCCCAGCTCTCAGGCTACCCGGGACAGAGCACTCCTTGTTCCCAGCCTTCAGGAATGGGGTTGGGAGAGGGCTGGGGAGCAAGCTCCACCTGGGGAGGACGTGGCCTGGGGAGGGGAAACCAGGCTTGCTAAGGACACAGCGAGCTGACCACCCGGCCCTGGTTCTCTTCTAGAAGGCTGGGGTGGGGACTACAGAGGCTTTGGCCCAAGGAGGCCCTGGTCCCTCTCCTGGGAACCCATCTCCCCAGCTACCTTCCACAGCTGTGGGCCGGAACCCTGGGCCACTCCCCCAGCTCGATTCTCCTGCGGTGTCCCCCTGAGGACAGCTGGCCTCCCCGAGGGGTGCTGGGCCCAGAGGGCAGCTCGGAGTCAAGTGCCATGAGCGCAGGGCAGCAGAGAGGCCACCTAAGCTCTCGTCACTCTCCACAGGCTGGTTGAGGCCTCTCTGGAGCTGCTCCGCTGCCTGCGCACTGGCTCCTGATGGTGCTGCCAGGGGCTGCCATGGGGCAGCCCCACTGTGGGCACCACCAGTGCTGGACACATAGGAATTCTCCTGTGGGGAAGGGGGGATGCAGCTGGCGGCCTCCAAATGCCCAGGCACCCCCGCCACTACTGCCTGCAGCTTCTCTAGCCTCTCGTACACCTGCAAGTGGAAAAGAGGGACTCTCAGGGTGAGATGGCAGCCCTGGCCGGTCACCCCGTGGGCAAACCACAGGGATGCTCCAGGCCATCCGTGACCTGCCTTGGGGCTCTAAAACGGTATACCCTGCAGTTGGGAACGCTCTGCCCCTCGCCCCTCTGTTCCCGTCACAGGGAGTGCTAAGAACCGCGGCTGCCAAAGGCAAGGACTGAGAATGACCTCTTTCTCTTCTACAAAGTGAATCTCACTGCCCCACTGCCCTCAAACGGGGCCAGAGAAGAGGTGGGGTACTAGGGAGGGGACAGAAAAAGGCAGATGCAGTGGTGCAGTGCGCCCAGCAGGGGGCACTGCAGAAGCTCTTTCCTTCTTTCTCTGTGAAGTGGGGTCAGAGCTGGGCTCCGCAAAGCAGGACTGCCCGGGACCCTCAGTTCAGAGAGGCCCTGCCCCAAACAGAACCAAAGGGCAAGTAAGAAATGTGTGGAGACTCCAGAGAGACCTAGCAGGTGCTGAGATGGGGTCAATACAGAGCAGGGCCTGGAATGCGGGCTTTCTTGCTGGCCACCCCATCCCAGTGGGCAGCTGGCTACCTGGGTCATAGGAGGCCTCCTTTTGGCCCGGCGGTGCAGGCAGCAGCAGGCCAGCCGGCCCAGGCCCAGGCCCAGCTCAGGTGGGCAGGGCCCGGGCCTGGGGTCCAGGTGCTTCTTGCAGATCTGCATAGCGATGGGAGCAGCCCAGGAATCTGCAGCCAGACCTGCTTGCAGTGTGCTCTGGGTGCTTCTCAAAGCCACTCCAGCCTCCTCAGCCTCCTCTTCCACCAGGTCTTTCTGTGGGATACATAATGTGAATATGGCTACCAGGTGGCCACACCTACAGCTGCAATCCTCAAGTCCTTGTCACTCAATCCTATGGTGTTTGTTTTTTTGATAAAAAAAAAGAGATGGGGTCTCGCTATGTTGGCCTGGCTGGTCTCCAACTAGGCTCAAGTGATCTTCCTGCCTCAGCCTCCCAAAGTGCTGGGGTTACAGGTGTGAGACACTGTGCCACAGCTCTTGGTCTTTCTACAACTTACTTTTTTTTTTTTTTGAGACAGGGACTCATTCTGTCACCCAGGCTAGAGTGCAGTGGTGCAATCGTGGCTCACTGCATCCTCAACCTCCCAGGCTCAAGTGATCCTCCCACCTCAGTCTCCCAAGCAGCTGGGATTACAGGTGTGTACTACCATGCCTATCTTGCTATGTTGCCCAGGCTGGTCTCCAACTCCCAGGCTCAAGTGATCCTCCTGCCTCAGACTCCCGAGTAGCTTCTAGAGATTTATTAAACACCTACTGTGGACCAGTGGTGCTCTGGGCTCTAGGCATACAGGAACAAACAGAACCCTGGGCCCTGGTTTGACAGATCTGACTTCCTGGTGGGGGAGAGGCCCATGGAGCATTCTACCAGGACCTGAGGAAGTGACCCAGGAGCCGGGGTCTGAGGCATGAAGTAGCCTGAGAGGGCAGAGCCGAGAAGGAAAGTGCCCCACAGAGAGAGAGGTATCCTAGAGAGAGAGGTACCCCACAGAGACAGGTACCCCACAGAGAGGTACCCCACAGAGAGGTATCCTACAGAGAGAGAGGTACCCTAGAGAGAGAGAGGTACCCTAGAGAGAGATAGGTACCCCAGAGAGAGGTGCCCCACAGAGAGGTACCCCAGAGACAGGTACCCCACAGAGAGAGAAGAACCCAGAGAGAGGTACACTATAGACAGGTACCCCACAGAGAGGTACCCCAAAGCAAAAGAGGTACCCCACAGAGGTGTGCCACAGAGAGAGGCACCCCACAGAGAGATGCTCCACAGAGAGGCACCCCACAGGCACCTGACAGAGAGAGGCACCCCGCAGAGAGAGGCACCCTGGGGGTGGAAACAGGACCAGAGGCCATCTCCAGTTCTGAGATCAGACAGACCAGGAGGAACAGCCAGGGTGGGCGGTGGCTTTTCTCGCAGAGGGAACAGCACATACTAAGGCTGTGAAGCAGGTGGCAGGGAGCGCCCCGAGTCCTGGGGACCTGGGGCATTGTGGGGTCAACCACATAAGGGATTGGGCCTTCACCCCAAGAGCAGAGAAAATGCAAAGGGGCCTTTGAAAAGAGCACTTTGGCTGCAGGGTGGGGAGCAAGTGGGAAAGTCCAAGGACCCCCAAGGAGCCTGCTGCGCTTATTCAGCAGAATGCATGGATGGATGGACGCGGAGGGGAAAGGAAGGAGGGCTTGAGCCCGGCTCCTGGGTTCTCAGCGGGGCTGAATCCTGATGGAGACCCCACAGCACACAGGAACAGCCCCAAACAGGAGGAGAAGCAGTGAAGCAATTACTGGCTGAGCACATTCTGTGAAGTCTGTTTTGCATATGGGAAAACAGGCCCAGAGGGGAGCAGGAATTTGCTGGAAGGCCACTATCAGGCTGGGGCTAAAACCCAGGTCTCCAGTCTCCTGGCCCCACCACAGTCCATGGTGAGGCAGACAGAGTGGAGTAAGAGTATGAGGCAGCTCAGGCTGCCCTGCACGGCGTGGAGAGCTCAGCTGCAGCCTGCTAGGGCCCAGGAGGTTCCTCGGGGCCTGCTTCTCTACCCAGCGCCCTGGGACCGCCCCTCCCCCTGCCCCCAGCCCAGATGGGGTCTGTACAAGGCTCATAGTGTCTGCAGGCAAACAGGTTTGTCCTCAGCAAGGTAAACGGAGTTGTTTGAGGCCCTGCCAACTTTCAAAAATGCGGCCACTGTGGCAGCAGAGGCATCCATGGGCACTGCGCCCCAATCATCCCCATCGCTGGGGCTGTGCCTGCTGGCTGCCAGCAGCTGTGTGTCCCCGCCTGGCCCCGCCTCAGGGGGCTCACCAGATACTTGATCCTGGCACCGTGCGTCTTCACAGCCCTCTGAGCAGCCAGGGTCTCGAGCACCACCTGGAGAGAGGGAAGAGGGAGAGCATGGCAGTGGCCTTGGCAGGGAAGAGGCCTCTGGTGTGGACATGGATCGGGCCTGACAAAGGTGTGGACAAAGGCAGAGCCAGATGTTATGGGACTGAAGCTCAGGCGACTTGGAGGGCCCATTCGAAGACAAATTACAAACACACAGTTAGGTGCAGGGTGAGGAGGAGAGCCTCGGAGGGAGGGGGGCCCTGGAGCTGCAGCCTCTTGGGGTCCTGGCAGATGGCCCCTGGCCCGCAGTGCACTCTGCGGCCCCCACCTCTGCCTGCCTGTGGCTTCTCCTCCTCTGAGCCAGCAGAGGGGTCAGTGGCTCACCACCCCAAAGCTGAAGGTGTCCGTGTCCACAGCCAGCCTTCCTGTCTTGATGTACTCCTCGGGCAGGTAGGCCAGAGTGCCCCGCACTGTCCGCGTCCGGGCCACCGTGCTGCTCTGGCTGGGGCTGGACCCGGCAAAGCGGCTGAACCGGGCCAGGCCAAAGTCTCCCAGCTTGGGTGTCAGCCTCTCATCCAGAAGGACATTGGAACTTGGGGAGGGAAGACAGTGGCGTCAGCCCAGTCCTAGCTCCTACACCTGCCCGGCTTAGGTAAGGCTGGACTTGAGGCTGCCAGCCCAGTGCCTTGCCCACAGAAAGTGCTGGCACTGCCCTGAGTACTCCAGCCGCCTGGGGGCCTCTGCTCATCAGTGGGGCCCATCCTTGGCCTGTTTCCACACCTGTGCCATACCGGGTGTTGAGGTCCTAGGCCATGCCTGATCCCCACATTGACGGGACGGGGCCCCCCTTGCTGCAGGCCCTGCCCCTGCAGTTCTCATGGGCCCCTCCTCACCTCTTGATGTCTCCATGGATGAGGCTGGGGCTGTCCTGATGTAGAAACTGAATTGCCCGGGCTGTACCCAGAAGGATGTCCAGTCGCTGAGGCCAGGAGAGAGGTGGGCAGGCCTGGGTCTGGGGCGGCAAATGGGGACAGGGGAGGTTGCTGGGTGGCCGTTCCTTGATCCCAACCAACCTTCTATCTGTCACCGTGCAGCCTGGAACAGCCACTTCACTCTCTAGGCTTCAGTTTCCCCCTTCTGGAAAACGAGGAGCGAAGTCTCCGTGACCTGCACTTGTTAAGCTACTCTGGCTGCTTGTCAAAGCATTCAAGGCTGGGCAGTGGCTGGGGACATGTTCAATAGAATCTGCTGGGCATAGGCTCCCAGGGCTCATCCCTTTGTCCCTGGGTGGTCGGGAAGTCCTTGAAGGCATTCTTCCCACTCTCCCCAAACACAGTATGCCGGAGGAGGCAAGGGGGTCCTCCGGCAGCGCTGGCTGGTCCAGCTGGTAGCCCCAGACCCCCTTGCCTCCGGGGCTTGCTGATGAGACCCTCCAGCTACTCCGCTTGCAAAGGGGAGGGGCCTGGGGAAGAGCTCTATAGAAAACAGTGGGCCAGGCCAGGCACGGTAGCTCACACCTGTAATTCCAGCACTTTGGGAGGCTGAGGTGGGCAGACCACTTGAGGTCAGGAGTTTGAGACCAGCCTGGCTAACATGGCAAAACCTCATCTCTACTAAAAATACAAAAATTAGGCAAGTGTGGTGGTGTATGCCTGTGGTCCCAGCTACTCGGGAGGCTGAGGCAGGAAGATTGCTTGAACCCGGAGGGTGGAGGTTGTGGTGAGCTGAGATCACACCACTGCACTGCAGCCTGGGTGACAGAGAAAGACTCCACCTCAAAAAAAAGTGACCCCACCATGGGCCAAATCCTGAGCGGGGTGCTGCTGGGGAGCTGGAAGTGCAGGCCTGGCCTGCTAGCAGGACCCGCTCACACAGGCTAAAAGCCCCAGGCCCCGCGCCCGGCTCCAGCCAGGTGTCAGGAGTGCTTTGGGTCCTCGGAAGCGTGCCGGGCCAGGTGAGCCTACCTGGCAGTGGAGCCGGTCCTCCAGGGAGCCGTTGGGCAGGAAGCCGTACACGAGGCAGTAGAAGCCGTTCTGAGCACAGTAGCCAGCAAAGTCCACAATGTTTGGGTGACGAAACCTGTTTGAAAAAGGGGAGCACTTTCCATCAGGCCAGACTGGGTGGGCAGCCCTGGCTGGGGCCTCAGCTTGCCTGGGCCTGGCAGGCCTCAGGCGCCCAAGGGAGCCAGTCGTGTAGTGTGTGGTCTGAAGCCCCACGGGACCTGGTGTGGCTCCCCATCTGGCCTCACCTGGACAGCTGCTCCACCTCGGTCAGGAAGCTCTGCTTCACTGCAGTCCACTCCAGGTCAGCGTCCTGCAGCCCCCAGGGTGCGGTGGGGGAAGGGGCAGGGAAGACGGGCAGGGTGAGGCTCTCGAAGCGAAGGCCTTCAGGCCACCAGTGCCACGTGCCTGAGGCCCAGAACAACCAAGGGGCCAGGGACCCTGTGCCGGAATGAGGGCTGAAGGAGTTGTGTGGGGAAGCGAGGGGGAAAGGCTGGAGAAGTGAGTGAGGGTTGTCTGATGGCCTTCCAGGGTCCCTGCCAGGGTGCGACACTCACCTCCTTCAGCCTCTTCACAGCATACACGGTGTTCCTCATCACTGCCCGGTACACGCACCCAAAGCCACCCTCCCCGATCTTGAGCTCCTCTGAGAAGTTGTGGGTGCCCTGGGAAATCTCACAGAGGGGCCAGCAAAATGGAGAGGGGTGGGCTCCCTGCAGGAGGGACACCGAGCTCTCTGGGCCTGGCTGTGGAAAGAGAGCCTGGATCAGGTGGGGTCCCCCTGTCTCCTCCCTTCTGCCGAAGGCTCCAGGCTGTCCCCACCACAGCTGCCTCCCAGCTGACCCAGCTTGGCTGACTGCGGCTCTGTGGTACACCAAAGGCTGAATTCCTTCCTCCTTGTCTCGAATCTTCCCTAGGGGGCAGGGGACACCTACCTTGGTAGAGGAAGGGGCTGGAGATGGCGGTGGAGGCCGCAGGGAAGCAGGGCTTGGGACCAGGCCGAGCTCAGGCCCTGAATGGGTCTGGGAGCCTGGAAAAGCTTCATAAAGACACCAGTGAGAGGCAGGCAGAGACCAGCAGCAGGGTCTACAGCCGTGGCCATGGTCAAGGTGGGCCCTTCTTTGGGTCCACCGAGCCCAACAACCGGGCCCTCTTACCTGGGGAGAGGAGGGTGGAGGCTGAGGATGGCAACTTCCGGGGGCTCCAGGCCTCGGCCTCGGCGGGTGCAGGGATGCTGCTGGGCCTCGGGGCAGTGGTGCTTGGGGACGGAAGCGGGGCGGGAGGGTGCCCTGGGACGTCAAGGAAGGAAAGGAAGGTTGAGGCCCGG